ATGGTGCATTGTCGTCCATGAAATGGAACTGCGGACCCATAGTGCCTCTAAAAAGATGCACATATAGAAGAAGAATCTCGTTACAATAACGGGTCCCGTTGACTGAACCTGCGTTGAAGATGTGAAGGTCTGTACGACTACCAAGCATGATGCCTCCCCAAACGAGAACACCGCCACCTCCATACCTGTCCCTTGCAATGATGTTCGAGGGATGATTGCGGCTTCCCCGCTCTCTCCAGATGAGTATGCGATGAGAATCGCTACTCAGACTGAATCTGCTCTCATCTGTAAGGATTACTCGTCCCCATTCATTGTCTGTCCAATTCCGGTGTTCCCGGCACCACAGAGAACGCCTTCTCTGATGGGCAGGCGTTAGAGGTACACACCGTACAGGGCGTCGTGCAAACAGACCACCACCGTGCAGTCTTCTGGCCACGGTAAAACGCGATCGGGTCGTCCAGTCGCCTGTGTCGTGCGCTAGCGATTTCTCCCGCTGTCTGCCGCCTGTTTCTTCTGGCCTGTAAGGCAATATAACCGGTAATCTGCGGGTGTGGTTCCGCGTGACGACCACTACTAAACCCCCAGATAGCTGTTTCCTGTAGTTTGAAATTGTCTCCAAAGTCGTGAAACGATGCTGTGAGCAATTCCGAACTATGCAGCCACACTTGTCACACTGCGGGGCCTTCCTCCAACTTCCCAATGATTCGACCTCGAGTAAAAGCATCCAGATGTCGTCTAACAGATTGATTATTCACCATTTCTCGCTGAGGCAGCAACTCGGTGTGATTTTTAACTGCTATACGGCGTGCAATCTCTTGCCAGAAATACTGATCTTACACCCGACAACATGCTTTATATTACTCACTCCCCCATTACGTCTACCTGCATATCTGCGCATGTGCTACCGTACATCACGTTACATAATCTCCTGATTGGTCTTTCTGTCCGCTCTGCCTCTTCGTTCAGCTGATATGCTAATTTTTCGACTTCGTCCTTAATTTTTGCACAAAAGTGTATATTGCCTATTCATTCTATAGAATCCCTGTAATATATTGCCTAAACATTCTATAAAATCTTTATATACTGCCCAAGATTTGCAATGTATATTACAAAGATTGTATTTTATAGAACATCCATTCCATAAAATGCTTATAATGTGTAGTTTAGTCATCCTATAGAATCCCTGTAATATATTGCCTAGGCATTATATAGAATCTCTACAATATATTGCCCAGGATTTGCAATATATTACAAAGGTTGTAATTTAGAGAACATCCATTCAATAAAATCCTTATAATATGTAGTCAAGTCATTCTATAGAATCCTTGTAATATATTGCCTAGTCATTCAACAGGATCGTTGTAATACATTGCCTAGATATTCTATAGAATCTTTGGAATATACTGCCTAGACATTCTACAGAATCTCGAATCTAGACATTCTACAGAATCAAGAATTCCATAGAATGTTAATCATAATCCTCACTTTTCATTACTGCAGGTAACATTTCTAAAATTTACTTGAGCTGTTTCTTGATCCTCGTACGAAATTCGCCCTTTTTTAAAAAACATTTTTACACTTCATGATATATTTTGCTATTATTTTGAAATTGGTACAATTTATTCAATATTAACAGAATTTTTCCATGAGTTATTCTTAATTGCTTGGTGAAGTACTTCAGAAAGCACCTTTTTCATCATAAAATACTATATATTTACCTCTAAAATGTGTTTTAAAAATTAAAAATGTTGAACACAGTTGATCTTCTAACTATTTCTAATTATTCTAACTATTTTCTCCTTTTTCCTTTCGGTTAAGAGAAATTATTCTGTATCAACTGTATTTATTGCTATACCAGAACATTTAGGTACGGGCAATCTAATTTTAGGTGCAAGTACTGAATGTTGATTTATGAAAATTTGCATTGCAAATTAAGGACTAGAATTACCTTACCTTAAGATCACTTGCTGGTTTGATTTAGTTTCATATTCATGGTGAAAAAATACGGCCCTATTTTAGGAACACATTAGTTTTCAGAATTAAGTATCTGGAGTATAAATAAGTCTCTGCTGTTTCTTACAAAAAATTGGGCATTTATTGTGAAAAAACGCATATTTCACAAGTGCACATCTGTGTAGCCACCGACGAAGTGGCTTTTAGGATGGACCAATGGACATCCAGTAATATTTCTGTCATGTCGCATGACCTTTCACGTGCTTTAAGATATAAGCAAAATGGTTGAAAATATTTTGCCACACATTTTTATTGTACAAAATAAAGCATCGTTGAATTTCTTCTAAAAATTTTCATTGCGAAGATAGAACAAATATAAGCAATTGTGAAGATTTCATTACCTTGTTGAAAGAATTTGAACTAAATACAAAAACATGTTGGACACCCTGCAAAAATATCCATGTGAAATAATATTACTTAATAAGTCGTTAATAAGATGAAGAAGCACTTAGCTTCGAAACTATCGAAACTAGTACTGCAAACTGAAAAAAAAAAAGAAAAAAGAAGTTATTTACGCTGATCTTAATGTTGGACTTTGTTTTTGATTGTTATTCAGCATGATATTTAAACTAACTTTTAAATTGTTCATAATTCTACAACTTTTGCTTGCAGGTTAACTAAAGGCAAAAAAACCTTAACTGGAAGATAAGAACAATATAATTCAATCATTTTGAAAGCAAAAATTGCACAATTTAACAACATATAAGAATAAAAAAAACTGAGCTCACACAGTCAAAAAATAGAGTGGGTATATATATATATATACATTTGGTGTGGCCGATTGCAACCAAAAGGGGAGGTGCACAACTACATGCTATAGCAGTTCTATATACAAAATTTCAACGTTCTGAGGCTACTTGTTTTTAGTTATGCGAGATACATACACACGTATGTACGCACAACTTTCATGGAAAATTTTTTTATAAATCCATTTAAATCCTATTTGCAACCCGTTTTGGGGGAAAATAGTCCTTTATTCTGTCCTTATGTACAGATGTCAGGCAAAAACATCCTTAGATTGCATTCGATAGCGGTTGAAATGGATATTTTTGTTGAAATATGACACCCGAAAACCTTCACGATTACAATACTTAGTTTACTTCGTACAAGGAAGTAAAAAACTCTTTTGTTTATACCTGGCAAGCAGCATTTCATATGTAAAAAATTGGCATCTAACGCTTCTCGACTTCAGTTCATATGGAACCCAATTTCTTTGCTTTTGAATTATTCCCAATGATTATAAACGAAGTGAAATTGCTTATTGTGTCACTCATAATGTAAGCACAAATTCTCCTCATACTTACGTTTGCATGAATCTTCATTTAATAATGCTTCTGACTCCTTGTCTTCGTACACTTTCATCCTTCTGCTCCGTTCTTTGTCTTCGAGTTTAAATTCACCATTCTTAAACTTTTGAAACCTCTCCCAACAACTTCTTTCACTTACGGCAACCTCACTATATGCTTCTACATACAGTCAGATTTCTTCAAATTTAAGATGTAAATCAAAAGTTCCCGCAAATTGATGCTTATTCGGCTCAGAACTCGACATTTTTGCACGAAACAAAATGTATGATGCCTGATACATAATCACTAATATTTCAAGGTTATGTTTAAGTTATAAGGTTCTAAAAAATGAGCTTCTTGCGATCTGAAAACATTTCGAGCATTCCTTGAAAAAAAAATTTTTGGGAGAAATGATAATTCATATTTAATCTTTCCAAGTGAATTCAAAACTTCTCCCGACTTTAAAATCAAATCCAACCGCTTGTGAGAGGTTGATCTTCCAACAGTAATTATAATCCTCATCGCTGAATTTCGGTCTTGTTCTAATGTTACTGTCAGACAATTGAGATAAGTCACGACACTCTATCATCATTAGCTTTAAATAAATGTTTTGGAGTATACATAATATCTGATCACTCAAACAAAAGATAAAAACAAATTTGTGATATATTAATAAACATCAGAGAGAGTAAACCTTTACTACATGACAAGTATCACGTCAAGTCATGCTTTACCCAAAACTGTACAGCATTTCTAGATTTAACTATCTCTTCTAAGAAATTATCTTAAATTTTTTTCTTTAAAATGATTTTATTCTTTAAAAAAATTATCTCTCACTGACCTGAATATACAGGTAATTCCAGTAACTTCTTCTAGGTAATTTCCAGGCCATCAAAAGTATTTTAAACTTTCGAAATGGATACTTTAATAATCTCAAACTCGCCTTAGTTTATTCTCGACCCTGTAAACAATCATAATCTTGTGATTTCAAACCTTGTTTCATTTACTCTCAACTTAAAAACGTTATTCTAACGTAAAAACCTAAAACTCTAAACTTAAAAACGTTAATTCTAAACTGCTTGATTTTGATTGATTCCCAGTCTAGGGCTTAAATTGTAAGCTGTAAGTTTTAGATAACACGTTAAAATAGGATCTACAGAAATGAATAAATAAGAATAAAAAGTTTTAAATTAAAAAAAAAATGAATAAGCAAATAAACAATTTGTAAGTTGTAAAACACATGCTAGAAAGAGCTCCGCTATAATAAATCAAAATTGCTCATTATTACCTTCCATTGGTAAACTGGATGTCTCCATAACGATGCCGAAACTATTTTGTTGGTCGTATAGAGAAAACTAACTTAGAAACTTTCAGAAGAGTGCTTCAGCATAAAAGAGAAAGCATGTTTTTGCAAGTAGGGTTTTATTTTGTTGTTGTTAGGACTTATCTCACTTGTCTGACAATAACATCAGAACAAACCCACGAAATTCATCGTGGCAAGGAGTGCAAGACTGCAACTGTTGTTGGCAAGAGTCCTGAGCACCACTTCTTTTTTTTTTTTTTTTTTTTTGTGCACAAATTTGATAGTTTACTTTTGGTCCCACTCCGTAAAACGACACTAAAGTTGTGCACAAACTGACTTAATTCACTATTCTACTAAGAGTTTCAAATGTAAACAAATGGCAGCTTCATTAGGCTTTGTACCACTTAAACAACTTTTTAATTGTTGATAATTCTACAACTATTGCATGCAAATTAACTAAAGGTATAAAAACCTTGACAGAGCATAAGAGCAAAACAATTCAATCACTTTTAACCCTTTGAGGTTCGGTGCGTAAAAAAAATTTTTTTGGAAAAAATAACTTTAAACATAGATAATTAGCCCCTAATACAATGTTATTTCATGCAAAAAAAACAGGTAAGCCTTTAAGGTAATTAATGGCGTGGTGGGATACTGCTTGGGTACTACTCTTATATATGCGCTCAGGTCACCAAATGTGACGACATGTGTTCTGCACCGGTTTTTGGCGCAAATGCGTGTTCTAGGATGGTTTTGGGGATGATGTTGGTTTCTACAGCAACCATTTTTACACAGTGGTGACAGATAGGGACGGTGGGCTGGAGCAATTTCGGGCCGATCAAGAAACTCGAAAGATCGAATCGACAAAGATGACTGGGCGAGATAGCCCTGCGCATGAGGAAGACATGGATGCGCGAAACGCACATCACACTCAAATTCACATGAGATACGGTAGCTGTAGGCTGTAGTGTAGGGGTAAAGCAGAGCCTTTAGTCGACAGTCGTAAAGCAGATTTAAGAAAATACAGTATAGTCACGTTCTAATTTAATTGTGAAATTGAAAATATTGCATCATAATTGTAATTGAAAAAGACTCTCTAGCGAATTTTACTTTGTCACTGAATAATGTAAGTTGATGACAAGAAACATTGCAGCTGAATTTTTTTACACTCCTGTTTACAAAGAATACAAAGAATGGATAAACGATAAATCAAAAGAGGTGCACAGTAATTTCAAGAAAAGAGACAAAAACTAATGAAGGATTCAGCAAAGCATTGCTCAAAATTCATGGATATGTATCCTGAATTTCCAAAACCAGAACCTTCTCTGACGACTATCACTGCACAAACACAAGAAGAGACCACTACTTCAAAAACATTTGAAGCTGAAATATCAAGCACATGTGAGAACAATTCGATGCTGCTGACAACAGACACAACCAATATTGAAAATGTTACCTAAGCAACAGCAAGCGCATCATCATCATTCTTTTCATATTAGTCTGCTTTCTATTTTGCACGACTGACAGCAACTCAAGATCAACAAGATTTTATTAGCATACAGCCCTGCCAAGCTTCAGCTTCAAAACATATGTCTTTTCTTCCTCAACTAGTGTTCTATTGTCCTAATGGAAGCAAAGTATTACTTATTTTACTAACTGAATTCTTAAATAAATAATAAACCACACATAATTGATCAGAAAAAAAAAGGGAGAATAAAAGGGGGGGATACAGTAGAATAATTCCTAGATACATGGAACAAAAAGCAGCAAAAACTTAACTATGTAAGATTTAGAACATTTAATATGCTTATGTTTTAAGCTCAAATGACATTTTATAAGACAAAACAATAAAGCTGAAAAGCACTCTTTATATGATATTAATTAAACGTGTGTTTAGTACTAAGCTTTAATGCAACATGTATTTATAATTTTTCATGTCATTAAGAATGTATAAATTATTATTGTTTAAAATGTTATTAGACTGCTAGAAAATTACCTTTACAAGAACTTTAAAATTCTGGTCAGACTGTTAAACAAAAAAAAAAAAAAAAAATATTAGTTACAGACAGTGTCTGAAATATTTAGAAGTACTTTTTCTGTATTAAAATTTGGAAGCATTTCTATCAAAAATAAATTTCTTTTAAATGCATAGTCTACCAACTGATGCAGATTTTGTTTTGCTGGAAGTATGCCAGGAAAGTTCAATTCCCATTTTATAGAAGAAAGACATATTTCTAAGATTTCACCTCCTTTGTAAATACTGATATTCTTCCTTTATTATTTAATATGTCTTCTTTTCTTCTTTCCTTTTTATGTACATGTGCTTTTTGATTGCTTTTATGTGCCATGTAGTATTTTAAAAATGAGCACGATCTCATCAAAATAGCAAATAGATCTATGCATCTTGACAAAACTGACTATCTTTCCTGTATATGGATTGACTTTTTTCCCTTCTTGCAAAGAAACATTGAAGGGATTCAGCCTAACATGGATAGAAATCGATAAAAGAATGAACATTATTAAATAAGCAGTTTTTCATTTTTTTCTATTCTTTTCTAATTTCTGTGCATACCATTAATAATCTTTTCTTTTAATTTAGCAACAAGTAGCAGAAGATTTCCATATGGATAATAAATGGCCATTGTATTTCAAATAAATAGATCATATATCATCAAATGCGATAAGAGTCCCCTATTAAGACAGGGACCAAAACTTTTTCAAATCTTTCTCTCAGCAAAGTAAAAATTTATTTCATCTTCATATTGAATGCAAGTTGAAGTATATTTGTAAAAATGTACAATTCAAAAGTTTTATACCTGTAATTGTAAATAAATTTATTTTAAGACTGAATTATTTATATGTGTTCCTTGTTACTTTTATGAATATGTATTATGTATGTAATTCAATTGTCTTATGGTGATTTATTAAAATGAGAATAATCAATATTTAATTGGAAGGGATAAACTAATACAAAAAATGTATTCATGAAAGTATTCAAAATGCATATATTTTCTCTGCATAAATATGAGCAGGAATGTTCATGTTCAGCATTTTTGAAATATGAAAAAATATCTCAGTTAAAATAATATAGCTTTTAAACTGCAGATGTTGAAGAAAGTGTTTCTTTGTACTGAGAAGCCAAATGCTTTGCTTGCTGTATTTGTTCTCCTGAACAATAATCTTGTAAGAATACTGTAGCTAAATTGCTTAATCTTCTGTTACTACTCCCTTGAAACCTCAGCATACAGTCAATAACAGGAGCAGTAGTAATTACTGTAAAATAAAAATACATTTAGTAAATTTAAAAAAAAAAATTAATACTTAATATTATAATGGGTTATCAAAAATTTTTTATTTAAATCCCATTTTTCAAAACACAAGTGCAAATAGTTATTTTGAAGAAACTGCTGAGTTGGTTGTTCCATCGATGAACCAGGTTAAATATGCCCCTTTGGTAGAATTCTCACTGCACAAAATCAGATGCCATTCTTTTTATGTTTAATGTCTGGTATGAATAATTTTTCTTTTGGGGATTTTTCCACAGACTGAAGATAAAAAAGCAAGATATCTTCCATGTAAAGTCCTAGCAACATAAGAAATCACACAGTAGTGGAGTAGGTTCATATGTTTGTTTATGGGGGTTATTAAAACACAATTATCCTTTATTATATGCCACAATCATTCCATTGTATCAGTTCTGGTTTAAATCCTTTTGTACTCCTTCTCTTCTACTGAGGGCATCTTGAATGAATGGATATATCAGTCTCAAATAAAAAAAAAAACTTGAGAAACCATATGGAATTAAAATAAACTAAAAGTTCTTCACATGTTGAAGATATCTTCTAAAAAGTGAAAAGAAATTTAAAGCACATGAAGCTACCAAAATTATTAATTTAAAATACTAACTTATTACTTCTCTATAACACAATAACTGAAAAACTTCTTTACCTTAAAAAGAGACAGTCATTTCTGTATATTATTATATTTCATAGAGCCAACGGAATCACTTGGACTACAGGTATTAAAAGAATATCACACGAAGTTATCAGAAAGCTATTCTGGAAATTAGTGTACCCAATTTGATTAAAAAGTACATAAATCTTAAATGCAGAAAATGTATGGAACAGTCTGTACTAGGTAAGTTATTTCTTCGCTATTTTAGTGCTGCATTTTATGAATTATATTTGTAGATTTTTATAAAAGGTGCAAATAAATTTTTTGTTTTGTACACACAACTACAACAACAACAACAACAACAAACAAACAAACAAACAAACAAAAAAAAAAAGACTTGAAAATAAATATGTATAATATTTAAATTACTTTAGTAAAATGAATTATGATATATATAATACAGAATATAGAAATATAGAAATGCATCTTTTCACTTTTCTAATGATGCTTATAATATAATTATATCATGATGAATAATGATGCTCTTATAGAGAACACAATGTTTGTTTCTTGTTTTTAACTGACAGGTATGTCAAAATTAGAAAAGTGTTACTAAAAGCAGAATCCCATTTTCGAATTTTTGGTACCTCTTCCTTTCAAAGAATTATCTATTCATTACAATAAGCATCCTTAGCAATTTTTTTATATCAATCTGCACATGAATTAGTATATATTAATTAAAATATCATCATACTATTTTGCTTTTAAAAAACAAAATAATAACAATAATAATAAACTGATATAACAAGAAGATTTGGAGGTTCCAAAAATAAAATTATAAATTTTATAACAACATATAAAGGCTGCAAATCATGCTAAAACTTTTGATAAATTCATGATATAATTATATTATAAAAATTGTTAATGAAAACATCAAACTAAGTTTAAATTTAAATATGTTTTAAAGCTGTATCTAAAAGTCCTTTAAAAGCAAGTATAAACATACCAGCTTTACTTTCTGAAGAAACTAAAAACATTAAGGTTGTGATAGCTGACAAAACTGTTTCTTCTCTTTCACTAGACAGGCATTTTATGACACTGCAAACACCTCCTCTTTGGTAAATAAGCTGCTTAAAACCTTTATCTGAAAACAGAAAAATGCATTTGCATCTAAAGTAGAATATACAGAAATATAATTATCCATGCATTAAACATTCTTATCAATAGTATAATAATATTACCTGGATTATTATCTACATTCTATTATTATGAATGTTACTATCAATACAGTGGTGATGAATTTCGGAATAATTGATAAAGATGCATTTTTTTTTTTTAATCTGATGAATTTTCTCTGATCATTTTAAGATAAATTCATTGATGCATAAACAACAAACCTAGTACACTTAACCATTAACAGAACACCTTCTAAAATTTATCATTTAAAATAACAGGGTGTACTGTAAAAGTTGCGATAAACTTTTAGGAGAGGTAGGGTACATCATAGGCATTAAGAATTGCATAGGAACCTATATCCAGAAATGTCAGGGGTAAGTGATAGCAGAGGAAGAAGATGGGAAAAGAAGCAAGAGTGATTAATTTGAAACATTTATTGGACATGAATACAAATGGTGTATGACAGCTTGAATGAGAGGGGGGAATTAAATGCACATTTGTAAAGTATATCAAAAAAAACTTGGTGGTGGCTTTGAAGTCCGGATTTTAGATCATTCCGGATATTGGACGTCCGGATCTCGGACTTTTTACTGTATTAATTATTTTTTTTCAAAATGCAAGGAAAAAATTTAATTTATATCTTTCTTAACAAAAGTTTAAATAGCTTATTAAGAATAATCAGATTAGCATTAAACAAAAATGAACTTTTTATGATTGTGTTGCGACATCACGTTTATCCATTATTAGCACTAAATAACACTGGCAACAATCTGTTAATACTATTTCAAGCTCTGTAATAGCATTAAAAATTTATCATTTACTAAATTTTTTAAGGAAATATTTCTAAAATTCTTATTCTGGTTATTTGAGCTTTCCAGTTAGCTGAATGCTGCATAGTTGGGCTTTTAATGTACATATAAAAAGCACATTACATCTAAAAAATTATCACTAAGAGATTTCTGCAGTTAGCATTTATTGTAGATATGTTCAACAAAATTCATCATGAAAATCTGTTATTATAGTTGTTAAAATTCAGAGAACATACTGATCAGTATGTGCATAATGTGATTTTGACAATCCTTGAACGCTGTTAAATCCTACATTTCAAAAATGTTTGCTTATATTACTACCTCAGTTTTAAAATGTTTAAGTATTCATGGTATTTTTTAATGCAATGCATTTGAGAACTTTGCAGTCATCCTGTAGTATATATAAAAAAAGAAAAAGTCTATCACTTAATGAATATTGTGTCATTAAAGTAAAGGCTGAAATCTTTTCCATCTGATGCATATTTGACATAAAATTACCACAAAAGTAGTCATTTAAAAGAAATACTGAAATCTTATAAATAAACATATTTATAAGATTTCAGTATTTTTTTTCTTTCCATGAATGCATAAGTAAAAATGTTGCATTAGTAGTTCAAACTTACCTAATGCAAGATTGCAAATACCTCCTATAGCGAACTCTACTAAATTCTTATTAGAATCTTCAAGTTGATCTAAGGATAAAATAATACAAATTTTAAATTACAAGCTCATTTTTTATAAGACATATTTAAAGAAATTTTATTCAGGATTGTTCAAAAAAGATTTCTCAATTCTCTTGAATGACTGATGTGAAAAATTCATGATTCCAATTTAAGAATCCCCCCCCCCTAAAAGAGGCCTTTCAATTACAACAGTTTTGATGGCATGATGCTTTTTTGTGAGAATATACGGAACATACTTTTTTATATACATTATGCAGGAGGGTTGCTTATGCAAAAAGCAGGGAAATCTGCAAAAAAATATTTCTATAGACAAATATCCTCAAAAACACATTATACAATAGTTATCAAACTGCCTTTATCATCATTAATTAGAATTTTGGGAGGAGGCTGTGTGCTAGTACTACAGGAGATAGATATATAAATACAATTTTAAACACAACTTTTTAAAGATACACTTATTCTGCATATTTAAAAAATAGTTTAAAAGCATTGCTGTTAGTTTATGATTTTGCCGAGTCAGCAGCGCATTCACCTTATTTAATTATTTATATACAATTTGAGAAAGAGTAGCAGAGACAACAGTGAGAATGGGTGAGATTCAAGTTACAAGGAAGAAGAAACGAAGATATCTTACTAGATAGTGTAAGTATGTTTATTTGGTAGTCCAACTTTTTGTATTTTTATTTTTTCATGATGAGTATAAAACTTTTCCAAATATAAGCATAGGAACTGGGAAACAGCATTAAAAGTTAGATTTTGTTATTTGCCCAAAATATTTTTTTTAATTTGAAATTACCAAAACATAATAATTTTTAGCATTTAAAAGACTTCTGGAACTAGAAGTATATGTCTATTTGAGCTTTCCAGTTACAATGATTGTAAAAATAAAGGCTGGGTAAGATCTACATATACATTTGTATGTACAGATGTCACGAAAAAATCCATTTTACCGTCCATTTTAAAAGACAGTCCTTTGTTCTGCCCATATGTGCAGATGTCATGCAAAGAAATAGTCAAAATGGATTCAGAAATGGTGAAAATGGATATTTCCGTTGAAATCTGAAACCCAAAATTTTTGTGATTACAACACTATCTTTACTTCCTACTAGAAAATATAGTAACTATTTTAAAAGTATACTGCATTGCCTCATGAAGATATTTTTGCAAATTTTTGGCATGGGTGCAAGTAATCAGAAAGTGCTAAAGATTAATATAAAATACAAGGAAAAAAATTAACCTATATTTTATCTTTAAAAATAATCAGTGCTACCTATAGGCTCACCAAAAATTTTTCTTTTTTATGTGACTTATGAAGAACTTATCCAATGATAACTGCGTTTGCTCCCATTTGACAATTTAATCCAAATGAGACACAGCATTGCCATTCAGCATATTCATCATTGGCACCGATACAATCTCATTCATATGGTGTTTTTTTTTTTTTTTATATATAAAATTTTGCAGTTATTCTCCTATTTCATACATCTTTCTAATCTCATTTGGAGGAACAGATTCAGACATTCAGCAACCATGAGCATTTGGAATTCTACAGCAAATGCCTCGGCATCCAAACTCGCAGACTCAAGCCTATAAACATTATACAAGGTGATTCAAAACTGCTTTTACAAATTAAGAAGGGGGATAGTACTGATCCAGATGAACAATAATTACATAGAACATAGGGTCGCATTCCACTATGAAAGGCAGAAAAGGGAAATATTAGAATTCCAACCTGAACTTAAACGACGTTGGGAGAGTGAATGAATGAGACCGAAAGTTACACAATCAGTTTAGTGAAAAACTCGCAGGGAGTGCACAAAATGGATAAAATGGAAAACTTGGCGTTTTAGTGTTAATTTGAGCTCAGACTTTGATGGCAAATATTCAAATGCACATCTTTGGCTGGCAAGGCCTCAACCTCGCAAACAATTGCACAAGTTAATTATCTAATCAAAGGCTGAATATTATCAACTAATTCCAACTCCTGCTGTACTTCAAGATTAGCATGAAATCTTCATGCTGCGTTCCAGCTGTCAGAACTTCGTGTTGCATAGAAGGGCGCTTCAAGTAGAATGAGTACAGCACAGCAAGTTCAGAAGGACAGGATAGAAGATGGCGAAGGAAAAAAAACTGCGAAGGCGAAGGGAAAAAAATTATTTCGGGAAAAAACTGCTACCTTGATATCAAGTATCAAGGTAGCAGTTTTTTCCCGAAATAATTTAGATAATTGTTGCAATCATTTGCAAGGTTGAGCCCTTGCTAACCAAAGATGTGCATCTGAGTGATTGCCATCAAAGTCTGAGCTCGAATTAACACTTCAAAGCCAAGTTTTTGGTTTTATCCATTTTGTGCACTCTCTATGAGTTTTTCACTAAACTGATTATGCAGCTTTTGGTCTCGTTCATTCGCTCTCCCAACACTGTTGTAAGTTCAGGTTGAAATTCTAAATTCCTCTTTTCTGCCTCTCAGAGTGGAATGCGACCCTATGTTTGATGGTAATTATTGCTCATCTAGATGAGTACTATCACCCCTCTTAATTTGTAAAAGCAATTTAGAATCAGCCTGTACATATGACCTCCCTCCTTAAAGATATCAATCATCTTGTCTGCTTGCCTTAAAGTAGAGGTCTTCAACCAGTGGTCTGCTGAAGGCATTTTAGTGGCCCCATATCTGAATTTGAAGAAAAAATGAAGAATTAAAAAAAATCTTGATTTCAAGAAAAATTGCCTTGCCAGCTTTTTGTCGTTAAAAAAAAAAATTCATTTTCTCTTATTCTTGAAATTTAAAACATTTTATTCATATGCCTTATATTATTTGAGATAAAATTTTCTAAAAATTACGACTTTCTCAAAAATTTCACTTTATTTTATGTAATTTTAAAAATTAAAAATTTGACTACGCATAAAATCTCAACTCCATAAATAGGGTAGATTTTTATCTCTGTTGTAAAAGTGGTTAATTTCATTCTGTCTAAAGGACTCAAACACAGGCAATTTCAACAGCTCTTGAGTGATTTGGTAGCTGAATATGGTGACATCATGTATAACGCCGAAGTAACGTTGTTTGAACTGAGAAAAGATGCTTCAGCGCCAGTTTTCTTTGAAGAGCAACGTTCAACAATTCATGGAATCTAAAGAGAAATCTATTCACGAGTTCAGTGATGAGAAATGGTTTAGAGACTTTGCATTTCTTGTCGATATGACAAGTCATCTCAATGATTTGAACTAGGAAATACTAGGAAAATATATACTTGTTCATTATGCATTTCACAGTTGAAAGAGGAATTCAAAAGCAAATTTTCCGATTTTCGTGAAAATGAAACGTTCATGAGAATGTTCCCATTTTCAGTAGATGTTGGAAGTGTTCCACCTGAACTTCAATTAGAATTTATAGATTTACAGTGTGACTCTGCAGTAAAATGCAAGTTCCTTGAAAAGCCTACATTAATTAATTTTTATTCAAAGCACGTGACTGAAGACAAGTATCCAGGAATTTATAAACATGCATTGTTCATGTTTTCTAACTTTGGCAGTACCTGCATATGTGAACAACGTTTTAGTAAAATGGAAATCCTAAAATCAAAAACAAGAACATGGCTGACAGACAGACATTTGGAGGAAACTTTACCAATAGCAACAGCACAAATTAAATCAGATATTGAAGCTTTAATCAAGCAAAAACAATCAAGCAGTCTCCGTCTGCGGTATCTTATTCATTTATTTCTTTTTTAATTTCGTGCAAATCCTTGTTGTGGGGTTGCTACAAAATTTTGTGATTTTAGCCACTTACACATTTTGTTTATGGATGATTTCCTTTTTGACTTTCACTGTGAACATCATCTTATCATTGCTTCATTTGCTCACCAAAACAAAATTCTATTTGTATTTCTAGTTTCTAATTTAGATACTGATTTTTCACAATTGGTCAACTATTTAGTTACTATATTTTTCTGTTTTACTGTTCTTTTCTGCAAAAACACTCTTACAGAAAAAAAAAAAAAAAAAAAAAAAAAAAAAATTCACTAAAACTTATTGATAAACAAAATATTTCTCTAGGTAATTTTCTTATGGGTTTGTTGGATGCTAAATCCTTATGCATTGGAAGGTACTCTAAATTATCTAGAAACTAAAAAAAAAAAAAAAAGTTATTTTTCCATGTACATAAAATATAATTTTTCTTAATTAGTTTTTCTAAACAAGCACATTTTATTTTCCAAAATAATTATTATTGCCACATTTAAGTATTACTGAAAATTATTAGTGTCATAGAGTATCTCCTTATGGCTATTCCTTAACAAGCAGATTCAATACTTACCAAGAAATAGATCCACAATGTTCAATTCATTAATATGTACATAATTATCAGGATCATATGCAAAATTAGCTAAATTAGCTAAAACTTGTTCCTTTGCTTCTGCAAAAATAAAGAAAGATTACCAACTGATTTTAGTTATTGGGTAGCTTTTACATTGTTAAAGAATTTCAGTCCATACCAATATTGTATAAAAATAACTTTTTTAATAGGAATTATCAAGAATCAATTTTGCACTACGTAAGTAACAATAAAACAACATATTCAGTAACATCGAAAGAAAAGTTCAAAATTGATGTATATTGAACTGCAAAGCATTAAAAATAAAATATCATAGCTTGAAAAATTTTAACTTTTTCTTAATTTTCAAAAATTAACTTTTTAACGCAAAGTAAATTTTATCAATCTCGATAAAGTTATTAATAAAGTTTTTCTTGCAAACTTCTGATATCAACATAATTTTATTTGCTATGTTATATTTAACAGATAGATGTAGGCTCACCTCATTTATAACTGATATTATATTTTATAAAGTTTTACAAAAAGCTAACACTTTTGTCAGAAAATAATCATGTATGTATCTAGGGTAAGAAGGCAGGGCATGTGCCAGGAGTGCCATTTGAGCCTAAAACCAAATCCAAGAGGGATAAATATAATTTTAAATATTTTAAAAGAGGCACATTTTAAACTCCTGCTACAGGCACCAGTTGATATACATATGATAGTGCACTACTCACACAAGGAGGGGAACTACTTCACATTGATAAAATGCTTTAAAATGAAACAAAACTTGGCATTACTTTTCCGTTTTGCCAGCACAACCAATAAAGTTGCCTATAATGGTACACAACTGATACCAAACGGAATATGAGAATACACTAGTGAAGTAAAGCACTGTGGTTTTACATGAATTCTGAATAAGCTATTCATACGAATTGAAATAATTCTTGCATTTAAACTTGTATTCTAAATTAGGATTTAACTTGATGTAGATAATTACTGAGAGAATTAGATTTTTGTAGCGTAGTTTACATGAGATGAGATCACTTGGGGTCACGTGATATGAATCGGAAAATCAGCTTGTTGAACCATGAAAGCATAATAAATTCTTAAATTAATGTCTTTTTACAGATTTATGGCTTTTTACAAAATTTTAAACAATATTAAAATGTTTATGCCTTCAAAATAAAAAATTTTTAGAACTAACATTTGTTAACATTTTTTATGTGTATACTGTATGTTGTCGCCAATAAAGTCTACTTGGCGAGATTTGCGGCAGCGAAACGGAAAAGTACCAACTTGGCACTTGTGGGGAAAAGTATATTTCGAAAAAAATTTTAATTTTGGACAAGAGGCTGAATATTCATAGAATTCAGTAAGTGATATGACTACAATTTTGGGTGATATAACTATTGACTCAGTTGGATATTGATTTAACAAATGATCAAACTCTCTCTCGGATACTGCAAACCAGGTGATTTAGATCAAAATTTCCAGTTTATAGTAAAGGCAATACAGAAAATTAAATCAATAAATAATCACATCCCACAGATTTTTAGCTAGTGAGACTTCTAGGAATTGTGGTGGCACTATTCCTGGACTTGTGAATACTTTGTAAAGGATATTTGTTAATACTAGCTGTGTTTGACTGTGTTTTACTGTACCAGAACATGCCACCACAGACCCAGAATATAATGGCAGAGAAACTGATAGCTAAAGTGAAGTAAAATTCAGTGGTTCCCTTGTTAGATAATGATTTGATTTGGCGACCTTATTTTTACTTATAAACTGAAGTTAATAGGATTGTAAGAAATTTTCTCATTATTTATATAGTATGCCATCTATCATTTTAAATTTGCTATTTATTTCTTAGATGGCACCAATAAAATGCTACTTATACATATGAAAATAAACACAAATAATTACAAATAATTAAATATATATAAATGATTTCATTAATTAACCCTTCAGATGTTATGGGTTAGCTTTGAAAACGTAATGTTCTCCAAAATGCTATAAATAAGTGATATTTTCTTGATTGCAATTCTAAAACGAATCTCCTATTTGGTATCATAACTCCTTTCTTCCCATATACATCCAACTCGAGATCAGATACATTTTCATATGTAACAAATTAGATAGCCATCCTTCTAAGCAGAATTTTACGTCCAAACCTTACAGGGTTAATAACCTATTAAATTTTTAATTTCATTAACTTTAAATTGTTTCAAACTTCACAAAACAAAAGCAGGAATAAACCTTAAAAGGGCCATTTTTTATGAGTCATTCAGCCATGTACATCAAGAACATTGCACAACATGGCCCAAAAGTAGTCATCACTTTTATTAACAAATCTCCGCCATACTTTTACGAGATAATGTGGAAGCAACTGAGGTGTGGTAATTTGTATATGTAAAATCTTTAGCTTCAAAATCTCTCAGCACTATTCAATCGTTTGAATATTAATATCGTTTGCAGGATTGGCAAAGTTCTTAGGATGAGTTATAGTTTGATGATCATAGGATATAATCACAAAAGTGGTAGGTTACATACTATATCAATACCTACTTCTCTCTGCTAAACACTGTCTGTTTTTGAATGCTATTTGTTATTTTAAAAATTCATACTTCTAAATGGTAAGTACAGTATAACTATTTGACTAACATGTCAATGGTGTGCACCATGGTAATAGAGTACAATTTAGGGGTTTTCTATGATTAGATAGGAAGGGTAGAATAGTTCTTAATCTAACCATGTTTATGTAATGCAAAATGAAGAAAAAAATCCTTAAGAATAGTTTTCTTTATTTATTGAGGCCATGGAGAAGATTTGCCCTCCACCAGAAAAGTAAATTTATAAAAAAGGTAAATGGTTTATTCTTTTTACCTATCATATAATCTTATTTAATAATTTATAATTGATCATAGCAGGTGTGCAGTGTCGAGTTTGCACAATTCTCTGATGTTTTCTTAAACAAAACGAAATCACTGTGTACATGGTAAGAACAGCAGTAATGTATCATATAATATAGTAAGTATAATGTTTAATTTATCATATAATCCTTATTTAACAATTCATATTTGTATTTTAAATTGCTTTCTTCAATATGTTGATAATGGTTGCTGAGTTGTTACAGATATTGATAGTTTGATTGTTTTGACAAAAGTTACCAACATGTCCCTTATGAGTAATTTTTACTGAACTCATACGACTAACTTTTACTCAGCATATGATGGATATATTAACATATCATCATTGTATCAGTTACCTTACTGGAGTGGCTGTTGACATAAACTATAACTCAATGCTTACAAACTATGTGAGCTCAGAAGTAGTGTAAACCTGCCCAACTACTTATTCATGTCTAGCCCAAAACTCAGAAGGGTTAATAGCAATTTTCGCAAAAAATAGTTTAATGGCAAATATGCTTCAGCTAATGTACAAGAAACCGCATAAACAGAGGATTCATATCTCTCAATATCCTTCCAAATGTTGCCAAATTTGAATTATGAGACTCCTGCTGCATGGCATGTGACTTTATAATCGCATATGCACATAAATACATATAACTGAATATCATAATGTAGGAACTGCTATTTATATCTAAAACCTGAAAATATACTACAGGTAGGCATCCTACAACGCAGATGGAAAAACAAGGAAATTTTACTACAACATGGTTTAGGAAAGGTGTGGCAGATCTCCCTTGTTTCCAGCTGGATAAACCTTTGACCGACACAGCATGCCAGCAGATGAAGCAAAAACGTACCCCTAGACACGAATTCTAGGAATCGTCCTGGACGTACGTTACTCTCGTTGTTCTCTTGTGACTAAGAGCATCATCTTTGCACAACAACCATGGTTTGCTTGCTTTTTTCAGTATTGTAAATATGTAGACATTTTGAGCATGAATAAATTAATTTCCTGTTTGGACAACCCTATGGGACAACCCAATGGGACAACCCAACCATAGTACATGGACAACCCAACCAAGACTTTAATTAAGGTGTCATATTCATTGTCACAACACCTCATGAGAATCTCACCTGAGAAAACATGCAACGCTAAAACAACCTTTTTACCCTGTCCTTTAAGTTATCCGTATGCACCAAACTGTCTGCCGTTGTTCGATTCCTCCAATTTATTGCACATTTGGCAAATTCTTGCCATACAGAAGTGTATTTAATTAACAATTTTTTCATTTGATGAAGCTACTATAAAGTGATGAACAGGAATAAATATGTGAGCATAACATTACGTTTCTTTGTGATTTTGACTTGAAATCATAATCTTTTAATTTTTATACCATGTTGAATTTTATGTACGTTTTATATAAAATGTTTTTAATGTACATAAATTTAAAAAATGGTGAAAATATAACGCCATAAAAGGCCGTTTTTCTTTTTTTAAGAATCGAATCCCACTTTTGGTATAAGTTGGTGTCTCCTATAACGCGATTTCCCACAGCGCAGTACTTTCGAGGAACTTATCTATCTGTAGTTCCTATTTTCAACAAATAATTTAGAAACGCACTTATGCATAAATATATAAAATATTTTTTATATCTGTGTTAACTTCTGTATACGCAGCTTAAATATAAAATGTTTTAGCAGACACATAAATTATTTTGATAAAAATGTGGTTAATCATGTTTTTGTCTCACCCGATGAAGATGTATCTTGAAATTCCGTAACCAATTCTCTGAGATACAAGAACCGTTCTCTGGGGTTTTTCTTTTTGGACATGAAGAAGCACGAAATTACACAAACGTAATAAGAGATAAACAAACAGTAACCAAATAGCTAAACACCTAATTGCACTTTATAATTCAGTCTTTCTGCTTGCCGGTTTTCAGAAACAAAACAATTTATAGTTACGAGTTTTATTTAATATAAAAAAAAAACATGTCATATAACGTATTATTAAATTATTCATATCTCAGTTACTTGATGAAAAAATCTGTTTTCCGTACATAACACGAAAAATTATACTATTTAGAAATTTGGTTCTGTTTTTATCCTTATTAGTTAGATATTCTAAATAAAATCCTCTTAAATAAAGCTGTTTATTGAAATCCCTTCCTTCTTTCTTATAGTTATGCGATATTTCACTTTCAAATGCGGCATGATACGAAGTTTTTTTACCTTTTGTTTTTCAACTTCTACTTATACTGATAGCAGGCCTTCCTTTTAATCTTCTCGGATGTTGATAGTTGATATAATATGCAATAAAAATGGCGGATAAAGGGCAAGCGCAAACTTCACAGGGCCAGCCATTAATGAAAATAGGTTATTACATATTAGGAGAAACTCTTGGTGTGGGTACTTTTGGAAAAGTTAAAAGTAATTATATTCTCATTATATTGTTAGTTTGAAATGTTCACGTCTTATAAAACTGTATGGAAGCATCTCGATAGGCTTTGCCATGTGCGTTTTAAAATGTAAACAATGATTATATTTAAAGGGGCAAGAATGTCTTCTTAAATATAATAGTTACTACGCATCTTATGTTTATTCTTTATGTATCTAACTATTGTTTGTTGCGGTTATGTTTAGTTTAAAATTTCGTATTGCGTAAGATGATGTTTATATGTGAACTTTTTTTTTTTTTTTTCTTATTTGCAGCTGCTAAACATGAACTTACTGGTCATAAAGTAGCCGTGAAAATTTTAAATCGACAGAAAATTAAAAATTTAGATGTTGTTGGAAAAATTAGAAGAGAAATTCAAAATCTGAAACTTTTCCGGCATCCTCATATTATTAAGCTGTGAGTATGATGAGTCTCATTTCTTTTGTATTTCTGAGTTAATAATGTGAAATGTAATTGTTGATTTTTATCAAAATATAATAGTCGTAATTTCCCGTCATATATACTTTTTATTTATTTGCTGTCTTGTTTTAACAGTTTTTTTTGGGGGGGGGGGTAAGATTTAATATATTGTGCAGCTGCTTAATTACTGCTTTAAATTTCAGAATACATAAATACTTTGTAATATCTGAGTTTTTTTCAACAAAATATGCTTTAGAACTTAGAATTTTACTAAAACGATGATGTGCGAATACATTTGTAATTGTTTGGTAACTATATACGCAGTAGGAAATGTGTACTTGGATTAGATTCAAGAAATGCTTCTTATAGCTTTTGCTGTATAACCAACAAATTATATTATTTTGAATTTTCTGTTTTTATTATATTTTTAATTGATAAGTAAGGGCTGATATTTATTTAATGTTGTTCTCGCATTATGAATATCTTCATGACCTAAAGCAACAGATCTATCATAATGGCTATTTTCAGTTTCTTGTTTTCTATTTTTGGTCCTGTACTTTAATAATTTGCAGTGCTTTTGCATCATAGAGAGCTTCCAGGAATAGTTTGTATGCAAATGTATTTGTTGCTTCATATTTGAGTAGTTCATAATTTTGTAGATATATTATTTTGCAGTATATGTATAGAGAGAGAGAGAGAGACTGCCTATGAGGGCTAAAAATTAAAAAGAAATTTCTTTTCAGTTTGTAATACGGAATTTAAAGATGACAATTAGAAATACATTAATTATTAAAAAGAAAAAGGAATTTTGGTGCCGTAATGAGATAAATTTCAGTGATTATAGTATTCACTGATATTGTTAAAAAAATAAGTATTTGAGTGTATTTTAGATTGAATTCATTTTCTGCAGTTTTCAGTGCTTACATAACTGACTAACTTGGCATTATTAATTATAAAACAATATTTTAAAACCTAAATGAGCATTTGTAATGATCTAAATTGGAATCATTATTGATTTAGTTTAAATATCACGCTGAATTAACAATCAAAAACCAAGTCCAACATTAAGAATCAGCTGAAATTTTTACAAATTTTTTGCAGTACTAGTTTTGATAGTTTTTGAATAACCTTCTTCAGCCGCTAAGTGATTGTGGTTCCTATCGAAAAAGCTTTTAAATTCAGTAAAGTTTCAGACACACAGAAAGAAATGATTAGACATCTTATCGCCCATAATATGAAACTCGACAATAAACTTTTGAAGCCAAGCCTAAATGCAAGTAAAAGAACTACATTGTGTGAAATTCATTCTAACCTAGATATTTTCATTTCAAAGGCTGACAAAGGTGGCCATATAGTCATCATGGACAAGAACACTTACATTGATGGTGTCACTAAACTCTTAAATGAATGATGTTATATTCCATTCCCGAAAGACCCTTCACCTTTGGACCTCTGAAAAATAAAAACTGCAGTCAAATCTTCACAAATCCTTCTGACCCGATTACACCGTTCGCTTATCCCATCTGTTGTGAATTGTGCCAGATTATATGCTCTTCTTAAAATTCATAAAAGTGGTATTCTTTTCCGCTCTATTGTATCAAATTTAGGCACTGCTTTGTATCTGTTAGCTAAATATTTAGTTTCTAGATTTTCAACTTTATTGGATAATAACATTTACATCATAAAAAATTCAATAGAGTTTGTAAAAAAAAGGTTAAGAGTATTTCTCCCCAAAATTTCGTCATGGTTTCTTTTGATGTTAAATCATTATTTACCTATGATTGGAAAGTGCATTAAGATGTCTAAAAACTAGACTTCGTAAATTTCATTTCTCCTGCGTCGAAATTAATGAACTTATTTCACTCTCTCAACTCTGAGACAAACACATTTTGTTTTCCAAAATAAGTATTATAAGCAAACTGAGGAATTAGCTATGGGAAGCCCTCTTACTCCAATCCTTGCAATGTAGAATGTATCTACATGCATTATTTTGAATCTGAATTATTTGTCTAAATTAACTTCCCAGTTTGGTTCTACTACTTAGACGATACATTTACCCTGTTTGATGGTTATGAAAATGATTTAAATAATGTTCCTTCAATAATGAATTCCATTGATCATGCTATTCAGTTCACATTTGAACCTGAGACATCCAATTCTCTTCCGTTCCTCGACATTTTGGTCACACGTAGCATATCTGACTTCAGTACTACTAGTTATCATAAACCTTCATCGGTTTGCCTTCCACCACACTTCAAATCATGTCATCCAATGAAACAGAAGCTAGCTTAATTTTATTTCTTTGTTTTCCATATACTTCAAGTTTGCTCCTCCAAATCATCTCTTGATCAAGAACTAAAATATTTAAAAGCAGTTGCTATTGACAGGTTCTTTCCACCCAACATTATTAGCCATGCAGTTAAAAAGTTCTCATCGGAACACATCAATCCTGTTTTAGGTGATTATAGCAATTCTGTTGTCATTTATTTCTTTCCGTCAATTAACTATAAAAATGCACGTATTTTGCAGAAATTTAACTTTCGGATTTTCTCTCTAGTCAATAAAATTCCTAGTTCCATGCATAAGGACCCATTCTAGATATGAATTCCAGGGGTATTTACATGATTCCCTGCCAGTGTGGTTTAATTTACATTGATCAAACAAATAGAGTCTTAAAATTTCGTGTTAAAGAACATGAGGCATATGTTAGGAAAAAGTAAACGCAGAAACCTGCTGTTGCTCAGCATTGTTGGAATGAAATTCACACTTTCCATTTTTCTGCAGCCAAATTTATTCAGAAAATGTCCTGCATTAAAGAATTAGAATTTTTAGAAGTGTTTCACATCCAGAAAAACATTTCTGTTCTAGTTAATGACCCCAATTGCAATCCATCTTTACCTTCTGCTGTAAAGAAATTTTGTTTTAGTTTTTCTTGTTTCATCAATAGATGGTGCCGGTAGCTTAACTTCTGTCCAACTTTTCTTATCTTTCTTCATCCTTTATTTGGTTCATTTGCACTTAGCAGCTGAAGAAGGTAGTTCAAAAATTATCAAAACTAGTACTGCAAAACATTTTTAAAAATTTAAGCTGTTTCTTAATGTTGGACTTTATTTTTGATCATTATTGATGTTAACTTGTAAAAAATTTGCTTTCTCTGTAAGGTCTGACCATCAGAATCTTTTTCAATATACTATTAATTTAAAATTAGTAACACGACAACCTTGAGTTTGGCATAGATCTATGTCAGAATTTCATTCGATTGATGTGTTGACATAAATGTATGCCAAACTCAAGGTTGTTGTGTTACTAATTTTATGTTTTTATACTCTTAAATGTCGTACCTTAAAGTTGATCATCTTTAATAGTTATAGAAATAATAATGCAGAGAGGAATATAAGATGGGCATTAGAATAAGGCCGAGTTTTACTTTTCTAAAAAATAGTACAGTATGAAGTCCAATATCTGAACCTCCAGAGTACTGGCTTTCCCCTTTAAAACATCCCCTCTTCTTCAAAGTTTGGGAATGGAGAGTATAATACTCGGACAACAAGAAGAAGCAGATATGCCATAAATGTGATTTTTCTCCTGTTTAAGATTCTTGCATGTTGCTGTCAAACATCTACTGGTTAGGGAATTGCCACTTTGGCCAATGAAAGTACATTCATTGGTGTTGCACTTTCAGCCCTTGAGTGGTTGCGAAATGTTAACCTGGTTGATCTTTACATTATGGTAACTTGGCGATTTTTTGGCGAAAATTTGGCAACCAACTCTCCTACAGCAACCCTCTATTTTTTTTCCCCGCCGTCATTTTGTCTTCACGAAGTAAAGACATGTTTCTTTTCTTTTTATCTACTGAACACTTCTTCCAACAATCTACTAGCCGAATTACACTTATGCTAGAAAATTTTATCAAACAAAACTGCTTAATCATGAAAATATCACTGCCAAAATTGGGAAAAAGTGCACAATACCATACTCCTTACGCGTTTTTCAAAACACATACACATAAACCAGTACACGCCGACTTATTTTTACTTAAAAAAAACATCCCAGAATTGCACAAAAATGGCATTGCGCACACTCTTCACTATATCCATGTACACTGCTTTTTTCTCATAAATTAGAAAAATTTCACGAAAAACATGACAATTTTCTCAATCTTTAAACCCGGTAAAAAGAACATATATGAAATTACCTGATCGCGAAAAAGTATTACCCTTTACAAATATGAAACATTTCCACATATAAATAAATAAAATATCCAAAAACTTTTACCTCTAAATCATCTATTACATTATACACGTCACCAACGAATTCATACCGCAAGCATTACAAATACTTAGTATCAATATTTTAAATTATTTCCATGCACGTTTACTTCAACTTAAACGTATACCAAATTCCTACAAACATAAAATTCACAAAATAGCTATCATTTAATTAAAATATCACTAAACCATGTAAACACGTCGACTTATTTTTACTTAAAAAAAAACATCCCAGAATTGCACAAAAAATGGCATTGCGCACACTCTTCACTATATCCATGTACACTGCTTTTTCTCATAAATTAGAAAAATTTCACGAAAATACATGACAATTTTCTGAATCTTTAAACCCCGGTAAAAAAGAACATATATGAAATTACCTGATCGCGAAAAAGTATTTACCCTTTCCAAATATGAAACATTTCCACACATAAAATAAATAAAATATCCAAAAACGTTTACCTCTAAATCATCTATTATATTATAAACGTCACCAACGAATTCATACCGCAACCATTACAAATACTTAGTGTCAGATATTTAAATTATTTCCATGCATGTTTACTTCAACTAAAACGTATACCAAATTCTACAAACATAAAATTCACAAATAACTATCATTTCATTAAAATATAATTAAATTCAAAAAACACTACTTAAAATATAAATGAGCACATACATTAAATTAAAAAATTACCTTACAATCCTAATTACTTTAAACTAAATCAT